GGGTATTTAAGACATGTTAACAAAATAATATTAAATTACCTGTATTAAAATTAAAACATGTTATAAGGTTGTGATAAGGTATACCTCATTTGGTTTATATGGCCAGGTATCAGGATTTCTTCCAATCATATATAAATATAATGAGCCATCAGGCCAAGTCCTTTGGCCCTCGGAGACATATGGAAGTTCTTTTTCTCCCAAAAGATTTGCAAGTCCTTCACATTGACTTACATCCAGTTTTTCTTCTCTTTCTTTGGAAATTGCAATGCGTATTATCCTTGTTCTGTCTTGCTTGTTGTCCTGCACATCGTACATCTGTGCGCAGAAAGAAAAACACAGATATAGAGAAAGAAAATTAATCAACCGTATCTTATAATCTAATAACTCGGCTTCGCGCTGGTGCAGTTTTGTCTTCAGATTATTACCATTATTAATAACATAAATTGTAATTATTATTACTTATTACTTTTTTGTGTCCGTCTTACAAAAGTACAACATGACAAACTGTACATTTACAATAATATATTTTACTCGGTAATTTTTAAAATTATAGTGAATATACACCTTCTAAAATGTAAAAGCAAGAATATTATGTGGAGCATCTCGGAAGATTTTATTGATGTTATTACTTTTAAGTAAGTTATAACTAGATCTAGAATTTTAATGACCCAAAAAAAATACAGCACAAAAATGAACTAAACCTTTGCAAAAATGACCTAAAAATTCTAAAAAATGTCCAAAACAGTACTTTGATGAGCGAAAAAATTTAATTTTAAAATAAATATGTATTATTATTAATTATTAATTTTTCATTTTTATGTTACACAAAAAAGGTAAAAATTTGTTTTAAGAAGTAAATTAAAGAAATATATTAAAATTTAAGTTAACTTGTGAGTCTAATTAATTATATAATTACTTTTCGATTCATACCCACTTTGCCGAATCCCAATTCGACAACTACTCAGTTTGCCGACAAATATACATATAAATATAAATAGTTTTAAAATATTTTTAATATTATTTTATTAATATAGTTTCAATTTTCCCCATTTGCCGACAGGCAACAGTAATTTTATCGGAAACGGGTATAACAGCGATAATATTATTGTATGTTGTCGATATAAGTTCAAAGGTACTATTTTTATAAGGGTACTATAGATACTAATTGAGATTGCCTATACAACACATATAAAAAAAACTTAAGATAAACAAAAATTAGTTTAAATACACAAATTGAACGTAATATTTGTAAAAATTAACTAAAAAATTCAAAAAAATGCAAAAGTCACCAAAATCCTAGCTCTAGTTATGACCATTTTTAAATTGTACATTTTTTAAACATTTTAAAATAATAACAGGCAGTGTACATATTCATAGGTTTTAAATATAGAATTTCTAATGTATTTTCCGTTCAATATTTTTTTTTTTTTAAACTATGATGGATAGTTGTTAATTGGTGTTAATTAACGATTGGACGTTATGTATTACATAGTATATTACACATATGTAATTGTTATACAAATATAATATATTATGTGATTCCCCAAACCGTTAAATAGGGTGTGCTTAATTAATTTCTCTTTGCGAAATTACAAGTCGAGTTACATTGATTAGGCGGGCGGGGGAAGGGGGAGAGCGTGGCCACATATATTTTATCGTTTGCTAGCAGTATTAATTGGTATGATTATAATATTTTCACGTAAGGTCTATTATTTGTTTTTAATTATGATTTAAAATAACGTTAACATAGAATACTCACGGCACACCTGTAGAATACCCTTTTATCTAGGGATTTTTCATCAACTACATGTTCCAGCAGTGAAATGAACTTAAATCCTTGGTCAGCTAATATTCTGTTGATAGGATTTTCCTTCGACAGGCACTCAAATATTAGGTGATCCATATCTGATAGAACATGACAACAGAACAAATACATACATATGGTTAATATTTTTGCTTAGAAAGTATTGTTATGACAATGGCATTTTGTCCACAAAAAAATACTCTATGAAAATAATGATCCTGTCCTGTAGAACCAACCAAATTTGATCTTTTTTTTTATTCTAATAGAGAGTAATATTCTACAGACCGCATTGAACTCTGTTTTTCGATATTTAATTTTAAAATTATTTGAAATAAAATAAAAATTAGAGTTAAAGGCTGCCTGTAATATGTCGTCTTCTTTCTTATAAAAAAATATTTTCATAAGTTTGACAACTCAACAAGGAATAAGACACTCTTTTGTGAAGTCATTTGCGTTGATAAAATTACTGTATCGACACCACCCGAAAATTATTATAATTAAAGTGCTAACGAAAATACAAAAAAAGATTTTCAAATTGTATTGAATTTGAAAATTCTGAATACCGACGCCCTTCCTTTCCCAACGTGTTGTAATAATAATGATTCGTTAAACATACTCCGAATATCAATGCAATGGCTGTGTTCTATAGTTGGCACTGGACGTTCTAACCACAAATGGAATAATGGTGATGCGCTTAGTAATTTGTTCCTTTCCATGTAAGCGCATCCGTACATCGGTGTCACTGTCTGTATAGTAGATACCTCGAATTTATCCCTTAGCCCGAACGGAGGACATAATAGCCCATTTAGACTATCGCGGCCTGAAACACACAAGAAGAAAATACTGCATTACATTATAAACGTATTTTTTTAATTTTTATTATTGAGTTGGGCTTCAACACCCTAGTCATTCGCCTGGGTTATTATGATTATTCGAGTTATTCGGGTTATTTTCGTTAGGTTATTCGGGTAGGTTTATTTTACCATGTGGATTGTACGGTTGGTTAGAACACAATATGTATATGTGGCGAATATTTGTCACTAAAAACCCGGTGGTTACCCATCCAGTCATCCGAAAAAACTAGTGATAACGGCCGGCTGATGCATGACCTGAGGCTACTAAAAGTATGTAATTTTTTTTGAACCAATACTATTGTTATTGTTTTTCAAAAGGGTTCAAAAGTTCACGCTTACGTTCATTGTCCTATAAAATGGACGCGTTTATAAGAAAAAAGAAGAACGCGTTCATTACACGTTCGGTGTTGCTAGAAAATCCCTAGATATCAAATATCATTAGTATGGACATTATCTCCTAAGACTGTGTTCTGAAGTGATAAGAATGAGTGATAACTAGAGATTACAATCCCGGGATCCCGAGATCCCGGCTACTTTTAGGTACCGAGAATACTGGGACCAGTATAAATAAATCCCGGGATTCCCGGGACTGTGTAACATCCATAGAGTAATATAGAGGCGCCGTTCTGTTGTAATGTTGAAGCGCAAAGAGGCGCGGTTTTGCAGTGTGGCCCTTTCAAAAATTAAAAATATTGTACCATACATTTATTTTAGGTAATGTAAACTTTTGTAACTTTCATATATTTTTAAATGTACAAATTTTAAATATCCACTAATGACCACTATCCAGTAATCGTTTCTACATTGTAATAATACAATTATTTTTCACTTAATATTGTTATTTATCACTATTTAGGGTACAAATTATGAATCAAAAGCTGCTACAGTTAAATAATTTTATTAATTTAAATTTTAAAGTGTTACTGGCCTCTGAAAAGTGTCAACTTATTGTACCATGTTCTTAAAGATGGTTTTTCATTATATTTTTTTAAGCAATGATTAACTTTAAGTTTTATATAAGTTTGAGAGATTGATTTAATTAGGAGTGTTACATGATCTGATAGAGGGCTATTACTTTCTGCGCTATGAAACTGTAAAGTCTTAAAAATGTATCGATGGTGTAGAACATAGTCAAGGATCTTGGATTGAATTTTTACTGTGTTGATTGATCTATTTTGATAATCATACACTTTCAAAAGCTTTTCTGTCTGAAAGCATATTTGAAGTACATCTTCGCTAGGATACATTAGCCCACCTTTATTACCTCCTCTATTCTTCAGAGTAATCAGTGAATTCAAAAATAAATCTTTATTTACAGCAATTAATGATTTAATGCATGTTTCACAATGAAGGACTGATGTTAATTTGAAAACTACAAACCCAGCAATATATATAATTACTTCTTTAGTAAAAAGATTGATACCATCATCTTTTGGTTGACAAATATAGTCATGGTCATTTAAGTATGATTCAAAAACTCTATTGTTTTCAAATTCATTCTGGTCTGATAATATTAAATCTAATTTTGAATTGCCGCAACTGCTATTCATATTTATTACTTTAATAGGGTTTGAACTGGAATAATGTAATATGTCAATGTGTTCCAGGGGAATACAATTGCCATTATTAAATGTTTCTACGTCATTTATTCGGACAACCAATTTTTTATAAGCCGATTGAAATTGTCGTGCAGTGGGGTTGTTATTATAACCCCCTTGTGCTCTAACACTTCCAAAAAACAATTCCAAGTGGTCTTGGCTGATTTTGTATAACCTTATGTAATCTAACTTATCTGTAGATATATATTTATGGTATAAAAGTATTAATGAATTTAAACAAACCAATAATCCAATGAACCCAGTTTTCCTACTAGATTCCAAGACTGGTACAAATTCATTTTTTTCTTTAATTTTTAAATTTTTAATATATTTTGTAAACATTTCAGTAAAATTATTTATGAAATTAAAGTTTTCTTTGCAAAGTGCCTTTTTTTCATTAATGGCGTTGTAAGACCGTGAATTTAAGATATCAAATACGGAATTAAATATTTCAATAAATTCTACTGTAGCGTCTACTTTATCAAATTCTGGAATATTTAACTTGTGCTTACAAAATTTTAGCGCATCTGCCACTGATTTACTCAATAATTGAGTGGCCAATTTTACTTTCATCTTTTGCTTAAGAAAACAAATATGCTGTTTTCTCAATTTATTTGCGAGATGACATCCTTCTTTTTCCTGTAATAAAAATAAACGTTCGATAAAATCAAATTTGATGAATCTGTTTTCATGTTGCAATATTTGTTTTTCGCCAAAAGCATTTCTTATTAGCTTGATCATATGTGCAGGATCCATGAAAATAGGTATATCATCCTTTTCTTTATCTGCGTATTCTACTGTAAAAGCTGTTTGTAAATTTGAAGCATCAACATTACAACCTAATAGCCGTGCCATGGTAACATTTGTTGTACAACCATCAAAAGTTAGACTAACTATATGTACACCAGTAGCTTTCAAAGCATATAAAGCTTGTTTTGTCAGTTCAGCCTTTTGTGTGCTATTTAAATTAGAAGCTAAAAAATAACCAATTGGAAGTTTCCACCCTTCATTTATGGAAACAACCATAAAAACCAAGCAATCTTTAGCTAATACTAAGTTTTCATTATCTAAGCCATTGCCAATATCAACTCGACCGTAGTACTTTGAACCACTAAACTCTAGATGTTGTCGTATGGCCATTTCGTCAAGCATGAGACTACAATAAATTGGATGGTTAGAGTTTGTTACTTTTAATGTTAGCGATTTCAATGCTTCATTAGTAAAGCCAGGTTCTGCATCTATGCTTGAATACCACTTTCCTAAAGTACGAGGATGTGGTAAAACCGTATTAAACTGATTTCTCACGTATTGATAAGCTTTAGGAGAAAAAAAATGTAAAGATAGTGCAAATTTCCTAATAGATGGACTACATTTTTTCGGCACCTTTTTCCCCAAATTTTTATTTGACCATTTAGTAATTAAATCAGAATGTTTACCGAATGATTCTAAAAGAATATTAGTGTCGTCTTCAGTTAAAAGATTATTTTTTTTAAGTTCGCATATAATTTCAGACAAAGAATCAATTTTTTTATTTTTGCGCCGGACAATTTGTTGTAATTCTTTTATTTTCTTGTTTTTTATCTGCATTATATCTGACAAAATACAAATTCCACGTTTTAGATATGAACGCCTTGGTGTGTCATTAGGAGACGCATTAGTAGCAGCCACAAAAGAAGATTTGAATTTTTTCTAAAAAAAATCATAATCGGTGAATACTACATTACTATACAAAAATCATAGTATATAGAAAAAGCAAGTTGTATGTTATTGCTTACTCTTACTGTAGGCGTACACAGACTTAAGGTTTCTGATCCTGATGATGTACTAGCCATAGTTTGATCCAAATTAGCTAATGGAGAAAATCCTTCAGGTAGTTCACTAATATTAGGCACCTAAGAAATAAATGCACATACTTACATTAATAATAAATATAGAAAAAACAAGTTGTATATTATTGCTTACTCTTACTGTAGGCGTACACAGACTTAAGGTTTCTAAAGTACTTGCTGTTAAATCAAGATCAATTGTTGGTGCAACACTTTGAGAAGGATCATAACTATAAGATGCCTAATAAACAATACTTTTATTAGATACATACCTACATTTTTAACTTGTACATTAAATTAAATTACTTGAACTAAAATCTTTTTCATAGGAAGTTTAGAGCTACTATTGCTATGTTCGGCTAGGGATAGATTTTCTTTTAATTCAGGATACTTAATCTTTGCCTATAATTTCAATCACGGCAAAGAATTCAATACAAGAAACTCATAGATCATAATATCTTATAACTATTTTTAATATATTTATAAAATTATTAATTAACTATAGGTACCCATTTTACTCTAGATATTTGTATTGTTGGTATAGCGTGTTTTTGTAGTATTCTCAAATTATTCTTTACAATAAATGACTCAGGTACAAAATGAAGAGAACAAATAATACTCCTCTTATGAATTTTGTCCACTGCTAAATTATGACTTAGGATAAAACCATGCCACTTCTGCAAAATGCATTCTTTAGCAGGAAATCTAAAATGTGGTTCATATTATCAGCTATGGTATTACAAAATTCTAATACTACTTCACAACACAACTTACCTGTGAAAAGTGATGTTTTCAGATTTTGATTTAACATTTTTACTTCTGCCACAAATAAAACAGCTAGGCATTTTTTAACGATATTGTAAATTGAAAAAAGACGGATAAATATATAAACTATAAAGTTTTTTTATAATAAACATAAGTCATAAAATATTAACTTTGTAAATTATGCACAAATTCAAACGGAAAGTCCGACTTCAGTTAAAAGAAAATACATGACAAAATAAAATGGTATTAACCGTATCAACAGGCCATTCATGACAACACTACATAAAATAAATGTATGGTACAATATTTTTAATTTTTGAAAGGGCCACACTGCAAAACCGCGCCTCTTTCCGCATCAATGTTATTTACCACAGAACGCCGATACGCCGCCTCTATATTACTCTATGGTAACATCACTCAATAATTCAATACCCCGATTATGAATGCCGATTAACGTGTTTTTAAGATAAGATTATATTATGTTATGACTGTTATGAGATTATATATTTTACGACCGATCGGTATACGTACGAACAATTAATATACGCAATACGCTGTTCTCTGAATACATTCAATACGTAGGCCGTAGCGCTACAGTCAACACTCATCAGTCACGTTCACGGCTCACGGATATTTTTTTTTGATATTTAACTTTGATACCACAGTGTTTATACTTTTATTATAAAATGTCACGTGAAAGTGTTTTTGTTAAACACAAAAAAGATTTAGATACATCGTCTGCATGGTGTCATTTCCTAATTGCAAGCGATGGAAAAAGTGCGCGTTGTAAACGATGTTTAGCAGTATTGAAGACATTGGGAGGATCAACAAAAGGTTTACACACGCATTTGTTATCCAAACATAATTTTAAAGTATTATCTGAAAGCAATTGTTCATCAACTGGGCATGGACATTGAGAACCGTTAGAAGAAAATTCGACACCACCACCAGCTAAACGAAAGTTAGTTGAATATTTTATTAAGAGTGATACACTAGATCATGTTTTGGCTCGAATGACAGCTTTGGATGGTTTCCCATTTATTGTTTTTATAACTTCTAATGATTTAAGACAGTTATTAATATCCAAAGGTTACTCTGATTTACCAAAATCAGCCGTAACAATTCGAAATCGTGTAGTCAATTTTAGTTTAACAATCAGAAAAGAAATAATTGACGAATTTAAACGGTTGAAAAAAAAAGGTGAACGATTTAGTTTAACTTTTGACGAGTGGACTTCCACGGCCAACAAACGTTTTATGAATATTAACGTCCATTCGCAAACAAAATTTTGGAGCTTAGGTCTTATTCGAGTTAATGGTTCAATGACAGCTGAAAACTGTATTTGTGTATTAAAAGAACGATTAAGTCGATTTGATATTTCACTAGAAGAAGATATTGTCGCAATTGTAACCGATGGACCAAATGTTATGCTAAAAGTAGGAAAACTTGTTGACACTGAACACCAGTTATGTTTCGCGCATTGTATTCATTTAGCTGTTTGTGATGTACTTTATAATAAAAAAAATATAAATATTCGAGATGAATCAACTGCAAATGATATAAATGAAGATGACGATGAAGAATTTGATGAAGATGACGATGAAGAATTTGACTTTCCGGATTCAGGTTTAAATATTCTTCCGCAAAATGATATTATTCAAGACATGCCAGATTTAACCAATGAATATAATATTAATGTGGTAATTAAAAAAATACGCAAAGTTGTAATGTATTTTAAAAGATCTCCGACAAAAAATGACACTATACTTCAAAAATATGTTAAAGCAGAGCATGGAAAAGAAATTAAACTACTCCTGGATTGTAAAACGAGATGGAATAGTCTTCTTGCTATGTTGGAACGTTTTATCCTTTTAAAAACCAGTATACAAAAATCGCTTATAGATCTCAACCATCCAGTCAGATTAGAAGATTCTGATTATAACTTAATTACTGAGATAACAGATGTACTTGCCCCTATTAAACTGACAGTGGAAGCAATTGGTCGTCGTGATTCCAATTTGTGCACTGCTGATGCTGCATTTAAATTTCTTTTCAAGGAATTGTCAGAAAAAAATTCAGTACTTGCTAATAAAATGAGGACATGCTTGAGTGATCGTATAAAAAAACGACGACGTCCAGAGTTGTCTGGCGTATTGAGTTATTTACAGAATCCTCATGATGACTATGATAAAATTACATATTTGAAAGATATATTTTTAATCCCTAAAAATGATTTTATTAGAAAACAAATAATAAAATTAATTGAAAGGATACATTATAATGAACACCTAATGACACCTAATGAAGAACAACAACATTGTTTTGAACAAACAGAAAGTGAATCTTTTACACTCACTCAAATGACATTAAAAGAAAAGTTGGAGCTTGAAATAGGAAAAATTAAAAGAACAATTGATCCTATAACACAAAAAGAAACGGATTTGATAAAAATAATCAAAAAAGAGATGAATTTATTTGAAAATGGAGGAACTCGCGGGCATCACTTAGAGCTAGCATTTAAGTATTTAATGTCTATTCCTCCTACAAGTATCGAGTCCGAACGTGCATTCTCAGCAGCAGCCTATATTGGAAACAAGCTAAGAAGCAGACTGGGAGACGGATCATTAGACGCTCTACTATTTCTGCGTTCATATTTTCAAAATAATTAAAACCAATGTATATTTATAAACTTATTTAACTAATATAAACTTTATTAACTAATATCTATTCTTATGTATAATAATAAAAATATTTAAATAAAACAAAATTGTGCATAATTCTTTTAAACATTTTCTTATTAAATTTCGGGATAATCCCGGGATCCCGGGATTAATAGCTAAATATCCCGTAATCCCGGGATCATAAAGTCGGGCCGGGATTGTAATCTCTAGTGATAACTGATGAGAAAAAAATTCCAATATTAATAGGTGTCATTGATAATTAAATTCACATTGTTATACTGTTGGTCACTATGGTTTTCGGCGGAACGTCGACTATCGCGTCCGGCGGCCTGTCCCCTCTCGCCCTCGCTCAACGGCAATGGCGACCTTCACGCTCGAAAACCTCGTGACTACCGTCGCCGTCCGTATCCATGGCTTTTTGTATATTATATCATAAATATTTTAAATGTAAAATACAAAAGCTTAAAAATTAATAACCACCAAGTTCAATTAATACCCACAATATATTATATTATTATAAAACAATTATTAATACTATAGTTATTTTTTTTCGTATATGGCAGGGGAATAAAATTGTGAAATAAAAGCGATCTCAGTAGTAATAATTACAAATTAAATTAAAATCGAATTAACAAAAAATATATATATTAGGATAAAATAAATCTTAAACATTTGAATGATAAATTATGAAATTTATAAAATAATACATAATGCTCATTACTCACCATGATTGCGAATGCTTATATCTACTTCCGTCATAACTTGTGATGTGAAATTTAAATAACACGGGGCTGCCAACACAGGGTAGGTGATGGCCAACAAAAGTAATATTTTTTCAATATATTTCGTCATCTTTGAGTCTATCAAGAAAAGCGAATAGTGAATAGCGAAGAACAAAAGAACGGACGGAATAAATAAATGTGATCAAGTCTGCTGCCGGTGAGAAAAAACGTTTGAGTTAATGGCAATAACACGGTTAGCACAAGAATGACGAGCGCCGAGCGGTGCACCCTGAGTGTCTTTTTATTAGCTAGCCACCTCGGTGTGGTGAAGGTGGGAGCGGTTTCCCATCACTGCTGTAACGTTGAAATCATAGGTGTATTGTACCAACATACACAAACTCGGGACGCTCTACATTGAACAAAAAATATTGAACGGAAAATGCATTAGCAGTGTTGAGCAATACCTAGGTAAATTATCTAAATAAATTATCTAGATAAATAATGAATTATCTTTTATTTTATTTTATCTACACAATAAATTTTATTGATTATCTGATGAATAATCTTAGATTGTTGATGAATGTTAATTTATAAATTAAAAATAATCAAACATCAATACAGTGTAGTAGTTTAGACGGACAAAACATGTTCGTGACGTCTCAACGTTTGTGTTATCGTCTTATCGGTGCGACGCACAGTGGTTCAAAATGAAAGTTTGGCGCGTCAAAAATTAATAAAAAAAAAGTTGTCTTATAAATATTTTTCTGATGATAAATTGGTTGTCTACAAAATACTGATCACAAAAATAACTTTTTGAAATACCCATATCGAAATAACTGCAGAATATAAATGCATTATCGTGAGTAAATATGTGAACGTTGTTCATTTATCGAGTAAACGCCTAAAAGAAAGTACGTATTATATTTTTCATAAATTGTTGTGTCATTTTTTTTGTTATATTTTTAAAAATTAATATGGACATGGAAATTGAAGGTAAGTTGTTCAAGTTTAAAAATTGCTACTGTTCTACTTATTTAATTGTATTGCAGTATTAAAACTATTGAATAATTGATGATTTCGTGAATTTAAAGTGCTAAGAATGGGAATTGCCCAATTTTGCCTTTTTATAAGCTATTGTAGATTATAGTACAAGTTCTCAGCTTTCTAATCATGTATAATTTATCTGCCTTTAGCTGCCTTTGAGACTCTAGCAATTTTATTACCAAAGAAAATATGTTATTACTTTATCAGATAAGTACCTTAAAATTAAAATATTAGGTATCACATTAAAATTGTATGTTCAACAAGTTAATATAAACGTGTGTGTATGTGTGTATAAGAATAAAAATAGCTTTAATTACATAAATTATACATTTCTGAATTTAAATTCTACAAATTCAATATAATATATTATTTCAGACAATGTTTGTGAAAAAAAATTGACGTTTAAGACACTGTTTTTGAAATTAAGAAATAATGGACCTTTGTCACCTCAAAAACATTGATTCTAGAAAATATTTATTGGATTTTATCATACAAAATTACGGTTTTAAGAATTGGGATACAAGTTAAGTAGAAAAAATAGAAACAGAAATCTTGAATTTTTCACGTTCTCCAACAAAAAAATGGTCAGGTTGTAATCGAACTTTGAACATATTTATGAATAAATATAAAGAATGGTTGGAAACAGAATTTAAATTCCCTGATATAAAAAATAATCAAACCTTAAAACTGTAGGAAGGCCAGCAAAAAAGTTTTCTGCCTTAAAAAATAGAACGAAGAGTAAAAGAGTTAAAAGCATCGTTGAAGACCTAACTACACCGGAAATAACATTTGCAGCTCAAACAAAATTATACAAAGCTGGAAAACGAGATTGTGCAGAATTATTAAAAGAAGCAACTATAACTCCAACCAGAGCTTCTAAAATAAAAAAAAATATTAAAAACCATAATAAACCAATACCATATTCTGATGATGAAGCGCTTTGTTGTTTAATTAATAAAGGACTTACGAAAAATCAATATACATAATAAACAGCTGATAATCGTGGAGATATTATTTCTTTTCTAGCTCTTTTTGTTTTTGTTGGCCCAGACTCGGGTAAAATTTTATCTTGGATGCCCGATGTACTAGGAATAAAACGATTTGGTGATTCTAGAATATTGATACTACAACAAGAGTTCGAATAATCGGACAAAGATGAATCAGTTTCGGAATAGTATACTAAAAAATAAAAAAAATAATAATTTGTTAAATTAATTGATTAACTTGTTAATATAAATAAATAAAATGCATAGAAATCAGTTATGTTGGTATTCAAATAAAAAGTATATTAATATTTACGGCTTAAATACTTGACTATAAAAAAATCAAAATATTTTATTAATTATATAACACATACCTGGTTCAAGGATTGACTGTTGTTTCTCTCTAAGTAATTTCAACTTTTCTTCTTTGGCTATCTTATTTTTTTCAATTTTTGTTTGTTTCGTATCAACTCCAAGCATACACCCTTGGCGTCCTTTTATTCGCTGTGCAATTAAAAATTGTTTGTCTTCATCAATTTTTATCTTAGATAGAGCGTCAGCATGTGCTATGTCAAACAAATCTTTTAAGCCATCTTCAAATTCTTTTCGTTTGTTTTTATTTAATTCACTTTTACGAGCTTTATGCTTTTCCAGGATTCGTAAATCAGTGTACAATTTTTTGCATTTAGCAATACAATTCGAACGATGATGTGTTGGTATGCGAGCTTTTTTCCAATAAATAAGACACTCGTCAATAACTAATGACGCACTTTCTTGTAAACTAAGATTAACAACACGCATATTATAAAAAAGTACTCTTAAAATATCTCTTTTTGAGGGTAACTTTCCGCCAGTTATTTGATTTTTCATAATCCCAACCAAAAACACTTGTTTTCGCGACATTTTAAAGTAATATTTCAAATAAGAATAAACGATTAATAGTCACTGATTACCAAATGACAACTGCGATAATATTACTGAGATAACTAATAGCCACAATATTTTTAGTCTAAAAATTACTGCGATACAGTGCGATAATACTATTGTGAATGTATTTTTCTAGAGATAATTTCTATTCTATTTTTAACCCAGACGTAAACAATTTAATGACCAATATGCAACCAATTATATTATGCATCCATTACGACAATTACAAAGAAATAATATCATTAATTCGTTAATTTAACATAAGACTTTTTATTCGTATATTTAATCAATCTATGGAGATATTGTATAATCGATATGTTGCAGAAATTGTACACATTATTTTCATTATTGATTTTCATGTAAATAAATAGATTTAAGCGTATTACTAATTATAACATTTTTTTTTAGGAAATAAGATTATTTATAATAAACGCTCTATACATTTTTATCGTAAGTAGAATAGTTTATGAGATAATTAGGAAAAACTGAAAAACTACCCTAAATTCAAATAATCAACCCTCTTGGGGCATTAATTCAGTGTTTCGTTTTGCAATGTTTTGATGTCTTTTAAGAAATAAATTAAACCACTTTATTCCAGGGCGATCATCTGTGAAAGGATTAGGTTTATTTGACTCCTTTAAGATTTTTTGAATTGAATCTTTTAATGTTTCTGGGTGTATTGGAAATCCTACTCTTGCCTTAGCTAATATCCAATTTACAACTCTACTTTCCTCGCTATCTGATAGGACAGTTGGAGGACCCATTTTCCGGTTCATAGGTACTTTATTATTTATTTTATTGCTTAATGTAGACTTGGGAATACCTGTTTCTCTGTGTACTGCATTCAAAGTTTTTTCTTTATTTTTTATAGAAGAAACAGCACTAATCAAATCGGCTTGAGTATATAGGAATCGAGAATATGATTTCTTAGAAATCTTCTCAGCATCATTGCAATTATCCATAATTCTGTTTTAATTAAAATTGTATTAGGTCACTTTATAAGATATAGCAATTTGCAATAATTATTGTATTATATTCAGATGATGAATGTAATTTAAACGAAATGAAGGAAAAATATTTATATTATTTTGTAATGTTCATTTACTGGATAAGACAAAATAGTATGAAATCCAATAAATGAACAGTTGTTCATTCATTGGTTTACCACATTTTATTGAAACCAGTACATGAACACCATCAAAACTCATAAATTAAGTAATCAAAACTTACCAAAACCTATTAAAACTGAATTTCCGTCCTATTTTCTATGAATATTATTACAATTAGTTTAAATTCAACATTATTTGAGTTCTCAGGACCTTAAACAAATTTTTTTTCTATAATCAAAAATTAAAAAAAATGATAATAACAGTATCATTTACAAATTGGGGGGAAAACTTATCGTTTCATATAAAAGAGAAACGTTCTTGTGTTCATGAAAAATCACGTGTGGCAACATAAGAATATTATGATTGTTTTATATATTATAAATATAAAGTGTACGTGCACTGGGTTTCTTAATAATACAATATAAAGTATAATTTGTTCATTCACTGGTAACGTTCATTCATTGGTACTCTTACCCTATTATTAAATAATTATTATCCATTAAAATTAATTTAGTGAAAACTTATTAATATTATTTAATATTTATATATTACATGAACAATAATATTTTATGTTTTCAGAAAACTAAATTAATACTGATGTACAAGCTGATGATATTTATATTAATAAAGAAAATAAATCAGGTAATATTAAATAAAAAATAAATATAATATATAAAATAATATAAAATAATATATATTTTTATTCATTTTAATTTTTCTAGTTCCTAACACTGCATTATCTCCTGAAGCCATAGAAGAAATTACATTATTTGTACCGCCTAATATTAATGCGAGTGCTAGTGATGAGTTGTGTTTCCTAAGATACCATCCAATTCAACCTTCTGGAGATCTTCATAATTTACCATTTAAAACATGTCGTTTATATTATCGAATAATGTCAAATCAAACTATGGTTCAAAGAAAATGGCTTTCCTATTCACTTCATCTCAATAAAATTTACTGTATTACCTGTTTGTGTTATACTGATAGAACCAGTCCGTTTACTCAGGGTATAACACCATCGACAAAACATGTATATAATCAAGTTGAATTACATGAAAAAAGCAGTACTCGTGGAATGGCACTCATGTCGTTTTTATTACAAAGTAAAAATCAATGTACTAAGTCTTTATTATCAAAAAAAACACAGTGAACATGTATTACAAAGACGGCTAGTGTTACGAAGAATAATAAATATTATTAAATTTATTGGAACTCAGGGTCTGGCATTCAGAGGAAAACATGAAGCAGCATTTTCGCTTGACAATAATAATACTAATCATGGAAATTTTCTTGCACTAGTTTTACTACTTGCCAAATATGATCCTGTACTTGATCGCCATGTTAATACATCGATAGAAGCAAGTAAAAAAAGAAAAGAAACTCATCATAATACTAAAGGCCTTGGTAACTTAGTAACTTTTTTATCTAAAACAACAATTAATAAACTTATTAATATTTGTGGAAATCAAATTCAATTGGCAATCGCTTCTCAAGTAAAAGAAGCGTGGAAGTTAAGTTTAGAAGTAGACTCGTGCCAAGATGTAGGAGTAATGGATCAAGTTGCAATTTGTGTTAGATATGTACGAAATGGCATTGTACATGAAAGATTATTATGTATGACTCCTATCCGTACTGCTGGAAGACAATATTTTGAATTGGTCAAAACTATTTTGAATAATTTAGGGTTAGATATTAGAAATATAATCATTTCAGCTTTTGACGGTGCTAGTAATATGTCTAGAAGATATAACGGACTCCAAGCAGCGTTAAAAGAAGTGTCGCCTTTAATGATTTATACACATTGTTATGCTCATTCACTTAATTTAGTTATGGTTGGCTCATGTTCAAGTTGCTTAGAAGCACGCTTATTTTTTGGATTATTAGAAAAAGTAGCAGTATTTATAGGAAATCCTTATAAACGTACATCAAAGTGGATTGAAAATTTGGATCAATTGGTTGAAGGACGTGAGACACTGAGACGATTACAAAAGATTGGAACTACTAGATGGTGGGCCAAAGATAAAGCGCTTGAAACTATATTTGATGTAAACAGGTATTGGCCAGAAGGTGCCTTGAATATGAGCTGGCCATCCTTGCGGTCCGATGTGTAACAAACATTTGAGCTCGTACTCAAACAATAAGCGAGTCAATCTGGACTTGGATGGCAGTACTATAGGAAATTTCATACTGTCTGACAAGTTTGACTCAGACAACTGACCGCCTACCCGTATTAATGCAGAGCTCTCAATGAAGGGATGTAATTTCTTTAATTGACTTTGTTTAGATAATTGATGATTTTTATTTAACTTGTCTAAATCACTATGGAAGGCATACTTTTGAGTTTGAAGTAGCCAAGTTGTTTTTGCGTTAGATAACTCAACTACAGTCAACGGCCCCCTCTTCCTGAGGAAATGCTACTGTTTGATTTAAATCTTAATATCCATGCTGTGATGCGAATTAAGCGCATGAAATCAGAGTATTCATCAAGCAGGGTGGTAGTAGGCAGAACAGTAGCAAGAACTAGTTTGACTTGTCGGATTTCAGGAACTTCATCTGTCAACAGAGGACACTCCGGCCAGTATTTTCTATCTTGACTTAACCATGAGGGGCCGTTCCACCACAACTCGTGGGTACTGAGCGATTGAACATCAATGCCTCTGGTTATTATGTCAGCAGGATTACAGCTGGCGGGAACATGTGTCCATTGCATTGGACTGGTGAGGTCAATTATTTGTGCTACCCTGTTAGCAACAAACACCTTGAGTAGTTTCGAAGTGTTAATCTACGACAGAACGATTGTGGAATCTGACCAAAGTATTATATTTGAAGAATTTATAATAACGTTCACTTGAGTTAATTCAAGTACAACATTATGAACAAGCTCAGCCAATATGTGTGCCCCAGAAAGTTCAAGTCTTGTAATTGTGGTTGGCTTCAGTGGAGCAACTCTAGACTTTGATACAATCAGTGACACTGATATGCTACCACTTGGGGCCAAGAATCTTAAATAAACGCATGCCCCATAAGCTTCTTGCGACGCATCAGCAAATCCATGAAGCTCAATTATTGAAGCGTCGATATTAAGAACAGTTCTAGGCACTCTAATGTGTTCAAGTTCTTTAAATTGATGATAAAAGTGCTTCCAACGCAACACAAAATCAGTTGACAATGGAGAGTCCCATCCAAGTTTCAAAGTCCATAATTGTTGCAAAAATATCTTGCCTTTTATAAGCACAGGCGTTAATAGCCCAAGGGGGTCAAATATTTTGCTTATATCCGATAACAAATAACGCTTGGACATTACTACAGAAGGATCCCAGTCCTTGAATATGAATCTAAAACAATTAATGCTAGGCTGCCATGTTAGCCCTAGAGTACTTATGGTGTCTTCATCATTGAGCCTCAATAAGTAAGATGGATCGTCTTCAGTATGTGGAATTTGATTGAGTAGTAGAGGAGAATTTGAATACCATTTTCTCAATGGCATGCCTGCTGCGTTCAATACTCGACATAGTGCAGTATAAATAGAATAGCATTCGTCTATAGAAGAGGATCCAGTGATTAAGTCATCGACATAGGAATCCTCACGTATTGCACGGCTAACCGACGGAACGGAGGTGTCATTAGCTAGTTGAGAAAGACATTTCGTAGCCAAAAACGATGCTGACTTTGTTCCATAGGTTACAGTGAGCAATCTATAATCAATAACAGGGTCTTCAGGAGAGTTTCTGTACACAATACATTGTAGATTACAGTCTGCAGTGGATACTTTAACTTGTCTGTACATTTTTTCTATGTCTCCAGTAAGGACGTATCTATGCACACGAAAGCGCAACAATATTGAGAAAAGTTCAGGCTGGGTGGCTGGCCCTCGTGACAATATATCATTTAGAGAAACACCAGACTTGCTTTGCGCTGAACCGTCGAAAAAAACACGTACCTTGGTAGTGAGACTATTTGATTTTATAACTGCATGGTGAGGCAGATAGTAAGATTTCATTTCTATTTCATTCGCTGCATGGTACCACTTCCATGTGGCTGAGAGTTAGATACTCTGCCATGAACTTGCGATATTCGGTTGCTAAATATGGATCTTTAGCTAAACGTTTTTCCATATTGAACAATCTTTGAACTGCCATGCAACGAGAGTCGCCAAGATCATCAATGGGTTGATGAAGTGGTAATCGCTCAACAAATCTACCATGTTGGTCACGATTAACAGTCTCCAAGAAATACTTTTCAACTTCAGCCTCCTTTTGCCTGAGTGATTCAGATTTAGTACTTAGTAAAAAGATTAGTTGTTGGGGATACCTATTGTTAATAATATATAATTAATTGTCAATGTATAATAATTATAAATATTATTAATATAGGTACCTACTTATTTTATAATATGAATTATAATACTTAATATTTAATAATTTATATACAGGGTGTATCTTATGTCATTGTACGCGGGGTTTTTTGACGATTATGGAACGATGACATGGAATTTCGCTAAAACGAAAAAAGACGTGTTTCTTTATTTTTAACAAGCAATTTTTTTATAATAATTTCAACATTTTTAAACACTCAGGTGTACCAATAGCAAAATCAACTTTTTTTTCAAATGGTAACCACTATATTTTTAATGGATTCTGGTAAAGCTTTTTTTTCTGAACATTTTGGTAGTCGAATCATCAATTTTGGTTCGCTAGTTTATTAACTATGGTCCTCCAAAGATTAGTAAAATATGCATTAATACTTTTTATTGATATAATTAGTATAGGCTTAATTTGCAAGTGCTAAACAATTTTTTCTTATAACTACCTTTTGATACACTACAATAGTTGAATCTGTAATTTAATGACACCCTCAAAAAAAATAACAAACAAAATTGTTTGTAAACAGTTCATTATTTTTATTTTAACATACGATCATCAAAATCAATATTATTATTTTAATTTATTATTATAATCGTAATTAATTGATTACAGTTACTTTGCTTACTAAATTTAAATACTTAATTAGGTGGTTAAGGTAATAATGGTATTTGATTATTATAATAATATCGAAAATCTGTAATTAACTCAGATTAAAGGTACCTACCTAAATATTAGGTATATGAATATCGACTGTTTATGTAAATATCCTGCAATTAATGGTTTATTTTAAATCATAATTATTTAAAGACTTTTGTTATCTCATTTATTTTTATTATTGTAAAATTGCTGTACAAATCAGTATAAGTTTTAATTAAATTGAACTTTTCATTAGTACCTATTCAGAATTTTAGTTCAATAGGATATTTTACTATGTAAGTTGTTTTTAAATAAATAAGTATTTATAATAATGTATTCGATTGAAGAGCGTGTGAAGATAATTTTTTTGTATGGTTCGACCAATAAATTTCTCACCGAAACTGCTAGACAGTTTAATGTTTTGCATCCAGGTAAAAATTAAATTATACACATTTATTTATTTAAAATAAGCTAAGGAATGTATTTAATAGTTACTGTAATTTTTATTAATTTTTTCTATCATAGAAAAAAATGTTCAAAAATCGTACGTCAAACATCTTGTAGACAAGTTTTGTGAAACTGGTAGTGTTCAAGACAAAAAAAAGACGGGACGGAGCTCTACAATTGTCGATGATGAAAACATAAAAATAACTGTTCTAGGCTTGGTTTCCAATGACCCAACAAAGTCATTAAAAACCATATCTGATGAAATTGGTATTTCTAAACAAAGTGTTTGGCGTATATTAAAGAATCAGAAATATAAGGCATTTAAAATGAAAATTATTCAAGAGTTAGGGGAAGGCGATGAAGATCGACGATTAGAATTCTGTGAAACAGTTTTGGGAAAAATTAGGGGTGATACGGATTTAGTTAAGCACATTTTATTTAGTGACGAATCATGATTTTCCCTTTGTGGAGAAGTTAATACTCAAAACTGTCGTTATTGGTCCGAAACTAATCCCCATATCACGAGACAAGGCCACACTCAATGGCCCCAAAAAATAAATGTCTGGGCTGGCATTTTAGGGGACCATGTGATTGGTCCGTTATCTTTTGAAGGAAACCTAACTGGTGAAAAGTACCTTGGTATGCTTCAAAACACCATTCAAACGTTAGTTGTTTAGGCGATTGAAAATAATGACAACCAGACAGAGTTGGACGAAGACAAAATTGTTTTTCAACAAGATGGTGCTCCAGCTCACTACACAATTGCTGTCAGGGATTATTTGGATCAAGAATATCCAGGCAAGTGGATTGGGCGACGCGGGCCTATTGAATGGCCCCCGAGATCACCAGACTTGACACCGATTGGTTTTTTTCTTTGGGTCCATTTAAAAACAGTGGTCTATAAAACACCGAATGACACCATGGAGGACCTCAAGCAAAAAATATTTGACGAGTGCCATAAATTAACGAGTGATAATTTTCAAAATATTCGTCAGGAATTTGAAGATCGATTATATTACTGCCAAGAAGTAAATGGTATGCAATTTGAACATTTGATTTGAACATTTTTTTAAACACGTAATACATTTACAAAAATATTTGTTTTTAATTTATTGCAGTTCAACGTTAATTAATCATATTTAAATATTGCTAGTGCATAAAATATCAACATTATCAATATTTTTTAAATATGAGAAAATGTTATTCTTTAAATTATTAATAATTAAATATTTTTAAAAGTAAAAAACATTTGAAATAAAATATTAATTAATAAACATTTTAAAAATTACAAATTAATATTACCTTAAAAATATTAATTCAGTAACATTTAAAAAATAAAAAATAAATATTAATTAAAAAACATTGCAAAATAAATATTTTTTATATTTTTTATATTAAAAAAACATTTATGGAAAAATAATAACTGAAAAATATTTTTAAAACCAAAATAATATATTTTATTTGCAATACATTACGTTAGCAATGTTGTAATATTTTGATCACATTTAAAAAATATTTTTATGCTACCTGGAAATGGACGCATACAACCGAATACAGAGAAAATATACTGAGCAGTCAGCACACAACTTGCTGTTTCGAGAGTACCGAAAGAAAAAAAAAAGAAAAATGGTACAACAATGAACAGACCATACCGAAAATAAAATAATAATATGGACATAGGAACGATATTCAGTACCATACACACAATTATATAAAAACAAGCAATCATTGTATATTTGGTGGCATTGATACAATGACTGCACAATAGAATAATAAATATAGTACCCAAAAATACCTAAATAAAATAACATAATAATAACAGAATAATAGTGATTATAGCTAACAACTTGTGAGCGTGAACAATAGCTATAAACTAATATACATATATATATAAGCACATAGACACAAAAAATATAGTTCTATTAAGACTTAAGAGTCTATTATCTATATTATTATGTGGATATTGTTTTACTTATGTTGATTTTAGTATTAATGTACCACTTAACAGAGCATACATTGAACAATTTGAAAACAGTTGAACCATGCCCATTAAAATAAAATCCAGTATAATATTTGTGTTCAACAATGCTCAAATCTATAATTTTGTCCTGGATTTATAGTATACAAAAAGTATTTATTATGTACTATCTTTGAGTAAATTCAAACAACAGAAATGTGTGTACGTCTAGCAATGTCTAGTTAATGTTAGTTTAACTTATTGAATAAAAATAAATAGTTGATGGGAAGAAAATAGCTCTGTTGATGAATAATAAATGTAATTAAATAAATTTACATGATATTAGACCCAGAATTTAGAATTGTTTTTTGTGCATTAAGCTCAGTTACAGCTATACTGTCAGTATAACTAAATGTAGACATTATGCCACTTATGTAAAAATAATAGTTATAAATATCAATTAATATATCATGTTTTATAATTAATTATTGGTTCCCAAATTGAATCATAACTAAGTCTATAATATATCTTGGATTTATAATATACATCAGTCAGTCTAAAATATACATTGTCCATTATTTATTATTTACTATCCTTGAGTTCATTTAAACAACAGACATATGAGTACGTCCAGCAATATGCATTACTGTCCACATTAGTATCACTTATTAAATAAAAATAAACAGTTGATGTGAAAGCAATAGGTCTATGTGAATAAGGAACATATTTGTTAATTTGATTCAATTCATACAACCAATTTAATTTACACAACATAATTATGTGTTGATTTACAGACACAGAATTTAGAACCCTGTGTACCGTCAGTATAACTAAATGTAAAGATAACACTGCTGGTGTAAAAATAATAGCAATTAATGTATTATATTTTATTTATTAATTATTGTTTCACAATGGGTGTGCAAACAGACTAATAAATAACACATATTGTTTAATATATAGGTACAACATCAAAAAATTTTATATGATTTAACAACATTGACTGACCTGCTCAACTTATACAACCTTATACGCACGTACATGTAATCGGGTGTTTATTTTGATAAATAAATATAATATCTGTTTCCTAAATTAAATACCTAATTACCAATATGAGTAACGTAAGGTTTGACCGATACCTGTGAAGAATGATCCAGCAATAAGCAGTAATGCAAACATAATCTATTTTGGACTGAACAGTTTTTAATTCTTGAATATATCCATTATATAAAAAATGTATTTCTTATTAAATTTTTTCTACACATTGGTTCTTCATTAGAAGTTAATTTACAATAGTTGATGAACCCAGGATGTTCAATCATAGAAAACTGTCATACAGTGTTTATAATAAGCCTCACATTTTCACTATCAAATTCTTTTTGAGAAAGTTTTTTAGAAATTTGTCCAATTTTAGAAAACTATAACTGTTTATATAGTTTCACAGAAGTATTGTTTTTTAACCTCCTTTTACTATTGTCAGTAAATGTTCTTAATTCATTTGGATGTACATACTAAAAAAAAAAAAATGAATTCAACATAAAATTATTAGTAAATTTATTATATTTACTTCATGGCTAATACATATATTTAATTAAATAAATATTAAATTATAAGTTAAATATGTCACCTTTACCAAACTTGTATGTATATCGTACATTAATATCAGTGTTTTTAAAAATGTAGTCGAATTTAAAAAAAAATTATAATGTTCTATTAATTATTAAATTGTTAAATAAATTTTATTAGACACAAGCTAAAAATTAAAATTATGAAATATATATCTATTTTATATTACGATAGCAATTTTAGATACTATCTACTTTTAAACGTATGTATGTATAAATTTAAACATTCAATAATTAAGTAAAGTTACAAAAAGTTAAGAATAAATGTATGGTTACAAAAATATTAACTACCCATTATAGTTAATATTACGATACCACTTAAAGCTGCTTACCTTAATGTGAGTTTTTTTAGATTTGAATTGGATGTTTTTGAAGTTGACAATAATTTAGTTTTCGGAAAGCAAAGGATACATCAGAACACAAAATTTCCACTGAGATCCGAAATATTTGCAGTAACTGTTCAAAATATTTTTTTAAATGCGGCCATTTCGACTCCAGATCTCTCAACTCAGTCATCATTGATTTATATTAAATATAAATATGAAATAATATCAAAAAACACCATAGTAGAATTACAACAATTTAATAAGTAGAAATTGATGAAATGTATCCAACTGAAGTACTGCACAACGCACTCGCACTGAATAAAGCAATGAATACAGTAAAATTATAAACCGTAGAGTATATATATATTTTGAATCAGAGCATTAACAAAGATATTCAGAAATAATTTTTTCCCCGTGAGAATATCAAAAAACACCATAGTAGAATTACAACAATTTAATAAGTAGAAATTGATGAAATGACGAGACTCGACGTATAGGTCTATTTTAGTATATTACGCTAAACACTTTAATAGTTTTCACTGCGTGTCAAAACCACTTCTTAAGAAGTAACTAAGTAAGGTACATGCATTCAAGTTAATTCGTCTGTCGAACATTATGACAATAAATTGTGTTTAAGTATTATGTTCGTGAAAAACATGATATCGAGTTATTATTTTACCTCCGTGTTTGGAGGAATAAATCCGTACCTTCCTCCATGGCTGTTAGGAAATCGACGCCACATAATATTTTATCTGTATGTAATTGATGATAAGTGATAACACATTATAATATGATTATTTCATTTTTTTTTGTTTTTATTGTATGTTATGTTGTTTCATTGTAATTTTGACCCAATGCAAGCGATTGGATATTGAATATTTTCATTCATTAGAGTTGGGTCAACTGCGTTTTATTTGAAACTAAAATTTTTTTTACTTTAAGTTCGTCGTACGTTGCAAAAATTTGAGTGATCTTGGTGAAAACGTAATTTGCAATACTATCCCTAACTACGTATAGTAGGTGAGAACGATATACTGTCATAAATACATTAAATAACTTAAATAATATTCTATGATGTATTATATTACTAAATATCTTTGAAAATCAAAGTATAGAAATTGGGTCGAAATTGTTTTGCTTTTTTAGGTGGTACGTATTTGTGCGAAATGGAAGACCCACCGAGCTCAAGTAGTTACTCATTGGATTCAAGTAGCACAACCAAGTCCATAGTTATTCCGATTGGTCCACTTTCACCTTATTCTGGTGATTTTGGTGAATACTTCTCTGAACAGTATTCTGTTCTCAAGTTAGTTTTGTCTTATCTTAACTATTATGATCTTAATACACTTCGCGAAGTCAATTGTTCTTTGAAAATAGCTACTGACATACTATTAAAGAAACGAACATGGATTCAAGCTGCTTCTCTAAATTATATGCACGGAACTGATCATCGACCAGAGCCAATACACAGCGGACATTTTATTGATTTAAGAATTGAACCAAAAGTATTGTTTACTTTTGAAGGTATGGCTGGTGGACCTTCCTCTAGATCCAGGCCAAAAATTTGTATGCGCTTACGTGATAGGAACGATAACCGTTTCTTTCCCAGAAGTGACATAGTGCCTAAATCAGTTAAGACATTTGTACCAATTGGCGCTAAAGGTATTATTTATCCAGACAAGAATGAAAAAAATGAATTGATAACTGTTCAGACGATGATGCATAAAAAATTGGCACTTCTCTATTTGCCTACAACTGACAGTTATGATGTAAGTGTATTTACTCGTGTAGTTACATCTGACTCGTTTATACAAGAACCAATACGTGAATTTTTTCATAGTGATCCACGTCCCATAAGAGGGATAATATTTTTAAAAGTCGGAGCACCACATATCGATGGAATGATAAGGTTTATTGTGAAAATGGTATCTAACAATCAGTCTGAGCCATTTGCGTTATCTGGAGGACATGTATCAAGCTTAGATTATGATAATCCACCAAAAAAAAATATTCCTGGTGTTTTGAAGGCAATTATATTTCGTGGAAATGGTATACGTTGTGTGTCAGATTTCATTGGCTCTACAACGGATGATGGAGTGCTTGAGGGATTAAAACATACTGCACTGTATGTTAACAAAACTTTTGGAAAATTGAACATTCATAAGACATTCATAATGATGTTCCAGTGCGTAGATAGACATTCATTACCCATTGAAGATAATACTCATCTTGCCAAAACATTTCCAAATATCCCAATTTTTGGTATGCAAACTTGGGGAGAAATTGGGTTTAGATCTTTTAAAACACATGAATTGAAATTTGCTCCTAAAAAACGAAAATTATCCATAATGCATTCAGTCAAAACCACATACATGATTGTTTCTATAGATTAATAATAATAATATTATATTAATACCTTATATCATTGATTATAAATACTACAGCTCGCTCACTGCGTTACAAAAAACTTAGAGCTGAATATACTAGCTATCCCGGTGTTTTTATCCAAAACTTACTAGGCGGTCTTAACCTGGCTGCCAAGTCAGTTAATTCTAGTGTGGATAACAACACCAGGATCACTAGTAAATTCAGCTCTAAGTGTTTTGTACCACAGTGAGAAATCTATAGTATTTTTATCAACGCTAATATTAATTTTACTTTTAATATTTTTAAGTATTTTAATAATTTAATTTTTCTTTGTTTTTATTTTCTTGATTAACTTTTATTGTTTTCCTTGTTAAATATTTTATTTTGTTTCTGATTAAATTGATAATTATTATTTTTTCAATAATATGACTGCAAAATATGAAGTATTTTACTGTTATGATTTGATTTTTATTTTAGACAACTATTCATAAACTTGAAGAGTATTATTGATGTGTGTGGTTCATATTTATATTTATTAACTTACGTAATATTTTATTATTGTTTTAAAAATTATTCCATTCATTAAATAGATTGTTAAATAATTTTTTCACGATTTGTAATATTTTTATATTACGTATTGTTGTAAACAAAATAATTTTAAATGGTTTTTTATTGTACACAACTTTGCTTGAACATTTGTTGTCAAACATTTTAGTTCTTTTGATATAATTTTCATAACAATTCTGCATTCACTTTATATATAATTAGTTGAGCAAGTCTTGTATAGTTATATATTTTTCCATAGGTTAAACTATAAAAACCATGTTTAATTTTTATTTGTTTTTATTTTATACATAAGTATTTTGGCTGTTTTCATTTTTTTTTATACATTAATAATTCTGTATACACATGCAAATATGTGTGCTATTGTTACTTAAAAATAACATTTCAAACAAATGTAGAACTATGGAGTTCTAAGAATTATAGTACAGTGAAACTTCCCCTAACAGACACCTCCAAATAGCAGATGTTTTTTTTCGGATACAAACTGAACCCTTTGAATTGTGTATACCTCCGAATACTGGACAACATTTTAGTGACCAAGAGTGTCATGATTTAGATGTTTCTCTGTGTATGTAAGTGAAATTAGATATCTATGACATTTAATCACTTGTTATAAATATTTATTCTTTAAATTATGCATATCTTAATCATCAATGCTGTTAATTGTGTTAAAACTAGCCAAATAATTAAAAAATGTTTTTTACAGCTAGTTTAATTAAATTTAAGACACAATATGCAAGTCTGACTTATCTTCATGTAATTTTTTAAGTACAGTGATTCATGAGCTGATCTCAAAATGTATCATTCCCAAAGTAATTTTTATCTTGATCCTAATTGTTTTGAAAGACTATAGTGAATATACACTTGAAATTTTATGTTTAATATGCTCTAAAAGACTTAATAGTTATTATACTCTTGAAAATTTGTGTTTGATATATTTAAGGTTATATAATTGGTTTTTTATACTATTGCCAAACTATTAATGTTAAATGATCATTTATGTATATTAATATTAAGGTTATAATTTTATACTTTTATTTGTATTTGATTCATTTTACAAATTTGAAATTGTTATTTTATTTTACTAAACCATTATCTATTTATATTTTGATTCCCACCTAGTAGGTATTCATCATACTAGATTTATAACTGATATTTATGTAATATTTTATATAATCTATTATATATATGTATTATTACACTTTTGTATTCATTTTTGTTTGCATCCAATAAGACTTAAAATTGTTGGAATAATTATTAACAACTTATAATTTCTACAAGCATATACAGGATATCCCCTTAAGGATATACCCATAAGTTGTAGAGGTGGACAAAATCCGGTTTTTTGCTGTTTTACCTACAAACTAAAAAATGATTAAAAATTATGAAATTAATGAAAATAAAATGTTGAAAGGTCAAATTTTTTAGAAAAATAAACTCTACAAAACGGATTATTAAACTTCAGTTATTTCAAAAATAAAAAAAAATGAATACCTAAATATATTTTTAAACTTTTTTGCCAAAAATTTAATTGAATTAAAAAATAAAATATATGTAATCCTTGTTTGTGAGTCTAATAAAAAAAACAGATTTATGATATATTTATTATCTCAGGAGATATGGTAATTTGTAAATCCTCATGGACACCTGTATTATGTTAATACCTTTCTATAATTTTAACAATAATTATGTTATTTTATTGAATTTTCATTTTTAAGTATCTATTTAAAAATACTCTGTATTACAAGATAACATATAATAATTTTGAATTTTAAATCCAACTTCAACTATTCTTACCACGTAATAAAAGAATTCGTCAAAATATATGATTTTATTATTTTCTTTATGTATAAATTGTGGATTATAAACATTGGTTTTAATTAAGTATAATATTTTGATTGAAAAATTTATAAAATTTATAAAAATCTAATTTAATTGTATACAATGTTTTAAAAATACTTTAAGCCGTTGAAAGTAACAGGGTTAAGTAGCCTTTCATAATTATTTAGTCACAATTATGTTAAAATTTTATATACTTACTCACGCATAATATTTTTACTTATTAAATATTATTGATTATTCTTCATTAGTTTTAATTATTGTGAATACATCTAGTATACTTACCTTAAAACAAATATTGTTTTTACCTATCTTGTAAATACAAAAATTATTATTTTCTACGCTTTATTATTTATTGTCCATAGACTTAATAAACTACTCTTATAATTGTGTGATGTTATTATGTATGTATGCAATTAAAAGTAAAACATATTTAAATGCTGTAAAAAAAAAACATATTTATTTATTTTTGATTTACACGGAGTATGAAAATTAATGATTAAAATTGACCAGTATAATGTCCTTTGAAATTTAATTCGGAACAATGTGATTCATATATTTTATACAGCCCATTTATGTCTTCCTTATATCTGTTATTAAATATAATTTAACTTAGATGTGCACCTTAAAGTCATAGTATTATTATTATTATATTTAGTTATAGATTCATTTATGATATACAAGTATTATTATTTTACTATTGAATATATCAAGGAAGTAGATATTTTAACCTAACCAACATTTTATCAAAAAGATTCACAATTATAGCTGATAGTTATCATACTTTTATTTTAGATAAATTATAAAAAATATTCATTTACATCATCAATATAAATTTATATAAATTATTACATTTGTATCAGTTCAAAAGTAATTGTTTTTTTATGTAGTACTACATATCTAAAAATATTTTACAAATAATATTATGTTATAAATTATAAGTAGTTTTATTATAAAATAAACGCTCAAATAATACAAAGTAATCGTCTATTTAAAATATTCATTAATTAATATTGAATTAACGTACAGTTTGAACCAGTAATTTGTATTATTAATATCAATACTTCATGATCCATATATTAGCTGTATTTAGAGAGCCTAGATTATCTAAGTTCTCTAGCTGTATGTGCCCAAATTACGCCTACAACTACCCATATATTATTATTATATTAAATTGAAATAATGGTGCTAGCTTTAATACTAAAAAAAATGTTGTTAATTATATCAGCAAATGAATTGACTTGAAAATTGAGATAAGAATTTTACTTTTAAGTTAATTTTCACTGATGTTTGTTTTGTATACACATAGGTTACGTAAACAAATGTTTAATTTATCTAATAGGTACATAATATAATATTCAAAAAGTATTTCACTGTTTAATTCATCTTTCGGAAAATCATACATCCCATTATTCATACAAGCATACATGTTTTTATTTGGTTCAAATTTAACTCATGTAGTGATTTTCACATATTCACTAGTGTTTATCAAACCATGTATTGTTTTTGTCATTAATTTATTCCTCAATTTGGTTTTTATTAGATTTACTTGAGAAAACAAATTTACCGCGGTACAGACAAAACAATGAGAACAAACTCTCCAAGATTAAGAAACAGCATATTCCCATTGACTTAGTACAAATAAAGATCTAACCAAAACATGTCTACATTTTTATTTTTAAGTATATCATTTCTGAATCAAATTATGAATTTAATTTTTATCATTCAGCATCAATCAATTGCTTATGATTTTCATCATCACATATTCTTGGGCATAAAATAATAAAATTTACATAAGTATTAGAATGTTGTTAACTAAATATATGTTTAGTCTGGTATAAAGGTGATATAAAATATAGGTAGTGAAGATAACATTTTATCATAAAAATCAAACCGTAATATTATTTTAATCAAAAAAAGTCTACATCTTCTTAACTCATCAAAGTACATTGATATTCTAATTTTGTGTTAATACAAATATTGATGTACCTAAATAGATACTTTTAAGTTGTAAAACTGTGATTTGTCTTTGGAATCAATTATAAATAGATTTGGAATTTTCTTAACAAATGAAAAAAGTATATTTTTATAAAGGTCAGACATTTTTGTATATATTGAATCAATAACTGTTTAATCACTTTAGAATAATTTGTTTAAAAATATTATTTTAGCAAGAATATAGTTTAGAAATGTATAGTACACAAACTAAAGGATCGTGTAAATGTTTTCTACCATTTTTAGCTTATCATCTTTATAATTCTTGGCAAAATATTTTTTAGTCACTCATTGTTCAATAATACAATAAACTAAAATAGTAAGAGATAACCATCTGGTTTGGGATGGTTATATTTAATGGAAACATCTACCCTCACAGAGATCCTGAAATTCTTTAAATTTTGATATTCGTTTGCAGCTTGCTTTAAAATAATTTAATCTTGATTACCAGGTCTTTGCAGTTTCTAGGAAGTGTTTTACAGGCCGTATTAGCGACAACATGTAGGCTATGACAAATACATTTTTGTAGATAGAAACCAATGAAAATACAAAAACTATTACATACAGTATTTATTGGTGATAATAAAATAAAGAATAAATTTGCTCTCCAAATAATATAAAATTATGTACTCCAACAAGGTGTTACAACTATTTGTCACGAAACCTAAATTAAATTATACATATTTTTGATAAAAAATAAAATATAATATTAAGTGGGAAAAATGGGATTCAATAGTCAATACTGACCGTTTTTAAGGAGTTTAATATAGGCAATTTCTTATGTGTATGCATGTTGTGTACAAAATAAACGACGGGGCACGTACGTAATTTACAAAAATATTAATTGTTATTTTAAAAATTATTTGTTTTGTAGTTGATATTTGCTTACCAATTATATTATTCAATGCAATTTTATTTTCATTAAAAGAATTTAGTAGGTATTGTACTGTA